TTTGCCAAGCGATGTAAGAGGAGTATTGCTCATTACAATGTTTTTTAGACTAATGAATAGACATATGAATGGAAAGAACAAAACACAAATGAGCGTAGGGACAAGATGATTCCTACATTTCCGATAAACAAACATATAACACCATGAACAAAGCGAAAAAAGTAGGACAGACAAACAACAGTTCTCAAAACACTACATCGAAATGTACGAACACTACCTTAAACCAATGGTGATTGAAGTTGGTCAGGAAGGGTAACCAATCTTCCACAATATAAAACTTCAGTCATATTTGTTAAAATAAATAATTTACTAAATTAGTATGTAATAATGTGCTAACATAAATGTTTTTTGTTGTAAAGCGTGTGGTGCAAACAGTATTTATTCGAATATTGAACAAGAATAAACTTCTTAATATCTTTCACTTTCGACATCGAATAAAACATATTTCTATAATATATACCTTGTATATTCCTTGCTAACTTTTATAACCCCTTTTTTAAATATGGTAAACTATTTTCTAATGATATTGACAACAATCGATGCGTTATCTTAACAACGAAAAGCAAAATGATCCCTATATACAGATGGTGGTTTTAAGGGCAACTGCAAAAGCTTCTTTGGAAGGCTGATTCCTGACCAGTATTATACTAATTGCAGTTAAAAATGACGAAAACAATTTCCTTCACCTATAAACGATAAATCTATTTTATTTTTGACATATAAATATTGATACATAAAGAAATATTTTGCTTTTAGAGCAATTTTATCATTTTTGAAAGATTTTTTTAAATTGCAATTTTCTGTAACTATTCGCAATTAATATTTTAAAGTGCACCTGATTTAGATTTTGGTATTCTGTTCTAATATGTTCATATAAATTTTAGGAAAAAAAATATCATAAAGAACCAGCAAAGTCATTTTGTTTAATTATAACGTAATTTATGAATGTTCATTCTTGACCTTTGACCTTGAATTAACAAAATTTGCACCGTACGAATCATTGACGACCGGGCAAAACAGAAAGTACAGATAATAAGCTTTCGAATCATGTATAATATAGCCGTATGTTAGGTGGGTGCATTAAAGTCGTTAACTAAGCGTCTTTTTGAAAAATGTAACTCGTCTAGTACGGTAAACAAATTGTAAACTGGTCAACATGTGACTATATACAAACTTCCATACAAATGTTTCATCATCAAGCTAACAAGTCCAAAGATTTATGGATGCTTCACGAAGAGCTGATTATAATGTATAGGTTGCAAATGATAAATCAAAATATAACATATACAATGAAGGGACTTATCAGGTAAGTTGCATGTATAAGAAGAAGAAAATGAGTTAGGTGATATATAGAGTTTTCATATTCATCAGAAATATACTCTGGTATGAGAAGTTAACGGATCTTTACACGTCGGACAATCGTATCTATTTGTATTTTGTAACACTGAAGCACATGTATTACAACATTTCAAATGTCCACAGCTAAATACAACTTGACGTGGCGTATTATGACATATGATACACAAAGGAACTTGCACGGATATAGATGGACCAGCTTTAACTAATGGAACCTGGGCAGCTGGACAATTTGTTGACATTCTCACAAAACCACCTACAACGTAAATAGAAAACATTGTTATGACGACATAAGAGGGATAACCCGAACATATCTTCCAACATGGAATAGTGGAGTTAATTTGATTAATTACTGGTAGTGCGGAACTGATTTTGATTATTGATTTTGGTTCAGACATGTAGTCGTATGATGTCTAAGCTGTTATATGTGTTAGATTATAGTTGACACTATAGTTTGTAATTGCGCGTATGCTTCTAATATTTATGCTTTTTTGAATGCCCAACAGAACTATCTGATACAGCAATATAAATGTCCCATTCTTTGTATGAATACTGATTTAAAAATCTATAAATGACAATTGACAACTTAGTTGGTGCGTATCATAACAAAGTATTTTCCCCAAGCTTCTAATTCGATCATCAAATTTAAAACACAGACTTCTAATCACAGACTTCTAATCTCAGTCATAATGTTTGACCCGACGTTGAAAGGTTTTAAGCGAACTTATCAATCATTTTAGTCCTCTTCCGCTATTTTACAGTACTAATATGGAGAATACCCGAGAATCGATATTTGTATTGATTCAGGTCAACCTTTTGCCTCAAATATTTACTAACCTGAAGTACCGTTCACCAATACAATTATAAATACAATGAAAAATGGTAGACAAGAAATGAGGACAACAGTGAACGATGTACTAAGATGGTGGTCATAGAGTATATGATCTCTCCAGTAATAGCTGCTGTAAGTTATAGCACTGGAAACTATAATAAGACCTGAAAAAAATGACCAACTTTTCAAATTTTGATACACAGAGAATAGGAAACAAGACGGAATTAGTTGCTCTGACACAAAAGGAATTTAAATGTATTTTTGGGCTGTTGATGGCATTAATGATTATGATTATGCAATCTTTTAACAAGGATCATTTATTTGACAGTTTTACATTTGAAAGCAAATAAACGTATACAAAGGAATATAAGTCGTCGATCTCAGGTCTTTGTCTGTTACGGTGTTAAAGTTGGTTTTTTTTCAGTTTTTACTATCATTTTTTTTTACATCCTATTTTTCGCGATTTTGAAATCAACAAATGCGTATTATATAAACTCATCACAGATACCAGGCTTAAAATTCTGAATGCCAAAAGCGTATTTCGTCTACAAACGACTCATTAGTGACGATCGAATAAAAAATATCAAAAAGGCCAAATAATAACCGACTATATATCTGCCAGGAGCAACACGAATGGTGTCATTAGTAAAGCAGGAACTGCCTACGAAAATAAATTCACTAGGAGTTTCAGTCTGGTAGGGTTCATGTTGATAAATCTTCAGTTTTGAATGAAGTGTTTTGTGTTCAGAAATCTGTCGTTTTTCGTTTAGCATAGAGGTTGATTTCATTTATTCGATTTATCAAATTTGATTGTACCCTGTATATTTTCTTCACTTTAATGTTGCGTCCAAAATGGCGACAAATCGTTTAAACATTTCAGCAGTTTTGACTCAAGCAACTGCATCACTACTTAGTTCGTAAACTAACCAATAAGTACAAAACACCACTTAAAGGAATAATAAAGACTAATTGCTTACATGAAACTAATAATTCGCTTCAAAGAAGAACAAAGATGCAGAGCACGTGTTACTAATACCACTTAATTATCATGCACATTTGTAAATCTATGTAACTGTGTAAAAAATAGGAGAAGTGATATGACTACCAATGAGACAACTATTATACACAAAAACACAAATGATTAGATTGAAGCAAATATATGCCACCGTACGGCCTTAGGTAAAAACTATACCGTATAGTAAGCTAAAAAAAAAAAGACCCAGACATGACAACATGTTAAATAATCCAAAGATGAAAACCAATGGCCTGATTTATGGACAAAACAATAAACGAAAAAACAAATATGATAGCAGCAAACGACAACCACTAAATTACAGACACCTGCATGACTTGAAACAGACACATAAAAAATGTGGCGAGGTTTAACATATTGCGTGTGCTCAGCACTCCCATGACCTTGGATAAACGTTTATTGTGTTTGAACATATTCTTCTAGCCGAAAGAGTTTAAAATTAATGGAAATTTGCATTACCTGTAACAAGTGACGCTGTTTGATAAAACCATCTCGTTGTGGCTTCACCTCTTGTATTCGTGACACAAGTATACATCAAGGCACATATGAATGTAATAAATGCACTTACAAGTCCAACCACTTGACATACAAATGTTGCAGTTAACCAGTTTGCTTTTAAAAAGATGATTCATGAATCAATCATTTATACATGTAGTTTCAACAATTAATTGCAAGTAACTGTTACAGTTTTCCTCATGTTTGGTATGACGTATGTACATGTAAAAAATGAAAAGATGATAAAGACTAGAAAACAGTTTATTTTATTTCCAACATGGCCGAAAACATCGTTGATTATTCAATCCCAAATGGAGTTATTCTGTTGATTCTCTGATTTTATTTTACTTCTATACCTTTATATATCACGTATAGAGGTAATTTTGTCAGCGACAAGTGTCTGGGGATCCGTCATTTACTCGAATAACTAAAATGAATACTAGTAATTCTTGGTTAAGAAAATATCACAAGACTCCAGGTGTCTTTAACTCACAAGAACAGTTGATTTTGCCCGGCAACGAACCTTTGTCGTAATTCAATATGAACTAGTCTCTATTAACACTATGCCGAGAAAATTGATTTTTATATAAAATTTGCATTCAATATAACATTAAAAGAATAACAATTGCTTAAAGTTATTTAATTCTTTCAACTTTTAAAAATAAGGAGATGTGATATGATTACCAATAAGACAATTACCCACCGGAGACCAAATGACATGGATGTAAGCAACTATGGATGACCGTACGGACTTCAACTATGATCAAATCCATACCATACATTTGTCGACTGCGCTTTTTCGCAAAAAAAAATCCATGCGTTTCAATTATTTTTACATACTAACATTTATTTACGAAGATTTACGAAGATTAAGATCCAAACACGAAGGATGCCAAGTTTTTTAACAATCAATTTAGAATTTAATAGAAATTATTATCAAATTACTTGACAAATCAAAATAAACTTGTAGATTCAACTATATGTATATGATCTCAACGATGGAAAGCTCTAAAACAGCTTAATTCCAATCATAGTTTCCCAACTAGAGACTACCGCATCAACATTTTTTTAAGTACGCAACCCTCCTCCATCTATCACAATTAATGACAGAACAAAAGATACAAATAAAAAAGTACAAGAAAGGCAAACAAGAATTTCACTTCATACAATTTTGTCGGCATTACAGAATACCAATTCGAAGGCAACTATGATATTGATACAGCAACAATGGGCAACCTGACCACCGTTATTATAAAAATTTGGGTAAAACATGTCAAATTGTTATTTTGTGATAACTTCTGAAATCAATCAATAGCATTATGTTTTTTTTAAGGTTTTTTTTTTGGAAACCCCATAAGACTTTTGTTTTCTAAATAATCAAATTAAAAAAAATATCTTTAGATTGGGTTAAATGCTTGATTTTTTGCACTTCGGAAAACAATATCTTAAATTTTACAGAATTTGAATCTCTAAGGCTTTGTGTCCAAACAAGCGTCAAAATATCTTAATAAATCATCGTTTACATAAAAGCCATTGATTTTTTAGCTGCAAAAAGATCAACGTTCGTGTTGTTTTCACTTTCGTTGTACAGAATATTTTTACAGCAGCAATAAATTAGTTTAAAGTGATAAGAATTATTAACATACAGAGGAATCGATATTTTTAGGGACTAAAGTACTGATAAAATATGATATACAAGCAATATTTTAAGGACTTAACATATATATAGATATAAGATAAATCAAGCTTTGACAATTTGTATTAAAATTTAATGAAGGAAACTAAATAAACTATCTGTATCTTATATCATTTTTTTTTAACTCTAAAATCTATAAGTAATAGAACGAACCTTAGATCTTAAATACATTTATCACAATTTATAATATATAATAAATACATACTTGAATGAAAAACATCACAACAAAAGACAGATATATTCTTGTATGTGTCATAATGGCAAAGTCCATACAACCCATGTTGGGACGCTGGTGAAACTGACCAGTCATGGCCACTGAGTCCAACTATTTGTAATATGATTCCTATCAAGAGCAACACGATTGTACATCGCACACAACTAACGACAGTCCTAAAATTGTCAACACCCGACACTAAAGTGCCAGCCAGGGACATAACTATTTCTATTTTTACAAACCATCTAAAATTTATGTGCACTTCAGTATTTAAACATATATGAATAAACATAGAAAATAGTTTTATTGCAGGCAGGTAGGTACATTTGTTTTGGAGTTCAACCTTATATCATATGTATGTTTAAATATTTATTTTCTATAAAGAATGGGATACGAGGTATGCTCTTTAAAAAAAATTAAAAACCTGTCATGACCAGATGATCAGGGCACAGATAAAAATATTATGCTTTTTGAGGATATTTTGAGTAATTATTTATTTTTTTAAACCTGATAAAATATTTTTTCCTATTTCTTCTTTACTACACATGAATCTGACTCATAGCTCCTATCTCTTGTTTACTACACACGAGTCTGACTCATAGCTCCTATTTCTTGTTTACTAATATGAGACTGACTCATAGCTCCTATCTCTTGTTTACCACACATGAGTATTACTCATAGCTCCAGATATTATAATAATACTTTTAACATAATTTACTTTAAATTCGTTCTATTCTTTTTAATGATCAGATGCGGATCCAGGATTTTGAAAGGGGGAGACAACGTTAGGAGTGAGACTTGTAAAATATCTATGCATTAACCATGTATGTAGCCCCCTGTCCCTCTTAAATCCGTCTCTGGAACTCATAAATTACTTTCAATTAAAATTTGCATTCCGTAATGTCTGTATATATACCATGTCTCGATGCCTTGCATTCTGTAGTCGTCCTTTAATTTGACACGTTGCAGCTATCCAGAACAGGCGTATGATGATGATCAATATTAATTACACTTATTGTAAAGACTTTATTGAGTTTCTTTGTGCAGAGATAATATATGAGATTTGTACTTGTTTCATTTCTCATGTGGAAAAAGGAAAAGTTTGGCACAACCCAGAGCAGGCATTTGATTTACTGAATCTACTTCTATTACGTTTTCCATTTAAAAGCAAGCTTTCTACAGGCATAATCTTAAAGATAAAAGCATGTCACAGGGGATTGTTTGTATTACGCTTCTAATTTTAAGCAAATATATATTTTTAAATACATATGGATATGATATTTATAGAATAAGAATAGATTAATAGCCACAAATATAGTTTATTTCTCCCATCTTGATATTTCAAAAGAATTGCCATAACCTTAACATTCGCTGACAAAAAAAACAAAACAACTGTTGCTGATTTGTGAGACTATTATAGTTAATACCGATTTGTCATATGAACTGAAACCCCGAGGGTTGACTGGGGTATAGAAGTATGGTCATTCATGGATTTCCTCAACAGACAGCAATACGCATGCTGAAGAGAGGCGTTCGTTTTGCTGTGCGGGATGGCTGAATATGAAGGCACGTCCGGTCAACATTGTATTCTTTGAAATTTAGGTCGACCTATTGGGCCAATTTCCTGTATTTTCTTATTATTGTGTTTGCGTAAGCGTTACTCATTTGCCTCCTAACGTTGATTAACATATCATTATTGATACCTGACATAATAAGGTCTTAACCAGACAAAGATGGTCAGATCTATTACAATTTGGGATTTTTAATTCTATATGTCAAATGTGACCCTATTTTACTCTCTCCTTTCATTGGCAATATCTTGTGGCATGATAAACTACATGTATGACCAGAAAAAAATAAATATACTTTTCATGAAATGTCAATATTAAATAAAACTATATGAAAACCATCATTTCAACGAAAAGATAAACCCATTATAACTTGGACAAAGCAAAATGTAAACATAAATCATACATGTACAAAGACAAATCATTGAATCAATAATATACACGTCTTTGTGACGTCACTGTTCTTCTACATCTTGGGCAGTTATATCTGTTCGAGTTTTGTAATATTGTTGCACATGCATTGCAGCATACAAAGTGTCCACAGTTAAATATCACGTCACGTTGATTTTCAGAACAGATAGTACACATTGGCATTTGTTTTCTTGTTGAAGAATTACGCGTTGTACTGTCTCTTTGTGGAGCAGAAGGAATTAAAGGCGTTTGTGCAGTTGGACAAGATGATGGAGCTTCTTCAAAATATCCTATTGTAATAGAAAAAAAAATAAACAAAGTTTAATCATTTTTCAATTTTTGGTATTGTTGTATTAAAAGCTGTGTAAGAAAGATAACTCATATTTCATTGAAAGCATGCACCAACAGCACAGTACTTAGTTCGTATGATTTAATAATAAAAAAAAATTTGGACAATAGAACAGTCAAGTGTCATTTTGTATTCTATTTGTAAATTATTTCAACAAATATAATTACAAGAGATTAGTTTTTACATCTAAGAAACTGCATCAAAACGACACAAATAACCAACTGACATCTAGAGAAAATCACATGGTATTCAACGATTTACAGGACTGGTGGCTATATCAACAAATGTAAATCGTCCGATGTCTAAACACGATAGTAATAAATTCACACAAAAACTCATCAGCATCAATTTTTCCACATAGCAAAGGAAATAATTATTAAATATTTAACACAAGACAACCAATGACGAGGTTTCTGACCGTGCTTTGGTTGGCCAAATTTTAGTATGTGACGTAGTTAACATAAATGTTTAGAACTCAACCCTACTCCTCTAAATGTCAATCAGAGCACTTATAAAACTGACATACAAGAATAAACACTAATAAACTGTTGACACAGAGATATGTCTCGCCTGTCGGCATATAATTCAGAAAAAAGGCAATCTTATGGACAGCAACATTGCTAATTTATTCAAAGTCGCTGGACCAACTAGTGGGTAGGGCCTCAAAATGGTTGACAAACTGACTATTGTAAGTAGTTCCTATCAAACTAACTTAATCAATATTATTCAGAAAACTTAACATTGAAAATTGTTAATTGATTGAAAGTCACTGGACCATGACCTAGGGGGCAGGGCCTTGAAATAGTCGTCAAACTGATATGTACTGATAGTAGTGCAACTTTAGAGAAAATATCATTTATCTATCGCAAGTAGTTCATATCAAACTAACATAAGCAGAAAACTTAACAATTGTTGACGCCAACACCGCCGCAGCCGTAACCGTCGCCGTTGCCGGAAAAGCAATCGCTATGTCTCGCTTTCCGCGACTTTCGTCGCAGGCGAGACAAAAATCAGGAAAGTGAAAGCACTTAACACTAAGATAAGGGTTTTACATTCAATTAAAAACACCAGTACACAAAATTGTTATAAAATTAACAATATTTTACCTAAACAAAAATAATTTGCATTTTTGGAAGCGAATTTAAATTACCAAAACCTGCTAATATGACCTTGTACCGACATACATTTTTTTGTCATTTTCGTATATAAAAGCCCTTGCACAGCTACTGAATACAAATACCTGCAATCTTTATTCTAAGAAAATAAACAAAAACATTTTAATGTGTTAGGAATATGAAGATTGGTCTGCTTTGTATTAGACCAACACAAAGAGCAGGATTTCAACATGATGGTTCACAAGGTAAGATTTCTCAGGAATACGTTAGATTACTCGGACTCATTTTTCTGACTCAAAGATGACAATTCGTTGCCCTTACTCCCAAATGCTACTTTCTTACCGGAAAATATCAATAACCAATTCTAAAGTCGGATGATTAGCCCGACTTTCTATTGAAAACATTAAAAGGACATTAACCATTTTCCGCTAGAAAAAATCTTGACCGAGAGATTTCAAATGGACAATATATTTGATTGTTTGCGTCATTGGCATATATTTTTCTATTTTTACAAATAGTAACATTTATATAAAAGGCAATTTGCAGCCGTTACCGTAAATGCCGTGAGTCATACCTGTACACAATTGCTTACCTGTACATCCATTCACACTTATTATCAACCCCACACATAAGAAAGCGAGACAAGATATGACAACTATGGTAAACGAAGTGCCAAGATGATGGTCTTGAAGAATGTGGTTTCTCCAGTAAAAGTTTGCGTAAATGGCAGCACTAGAACCAATAATTGCAGCTAAAACAGAGAAAAAAGCATTTTTTGTACTGTTAAAATTCTAATCTTATCAATCGCATCTATTTATAGTAATATTTTTTTGATTATGCACATGACAAAATTTTCAAACGAATGAAGCATTTGATGTTTCTCAAGCCCAGTACTCAGCACTTGTGTGTTGACATGAAATATCATTGATATGTTCATTTTCTGTAAATTTACTGTCTATAGAATGTTGAATTATTCGAAACACTAAGGTTTGTCAACCCTGAGGTATAGATTGCCTTTACCGTATTTGGCACAACGTTTTTTTTTAGGAATTTTCCGTATTTAAAGCTCTACAACAAACAATATTTGATTTGGCCTACCAACTGTTATTATTCGAGGATCATTGATGATTCTCATGTAGACAAAACGTGCATCTGGCGTACAAAACTAAAACCTGGTATCTTTGATAAAGTTTTACAACAACCTGATCGATGCCACTACTTGTGGACGTTTCGTCCCCAAGAGTATCACCAGCCCAGTATTCAACACTTTTGTTTTGACATGAAATATCATGGATATCATCTTCTGTTATAACATGGGAACTGGGGCCATAAATGTATTCGGAATTACTGCAATTTCATGACGTAGGTGTATTGTCACTGATATTAACATCTTTACGCACTTCGCTGTAATTAAACACATATTTCCGGGTAGATTTTTTGTATACATAATAAATAAGAGGGAGTTCAGTATTATCAAAATAGCCAGGAATTTGTTCTTTTACAGAATGATCATTAAAAGTACCGGCAATATTTACAAAACCAAAACCTTTATTGACATATTTAATTTTAATAAAATGTTTTTTGTGATCTTCAGGGCGATCAGTTTTGGGAAACAATTTAGATAACAATATGCAATTATAATTCGGATGATTTCATACTTAGGACTGCAATATGGAATTGTGTTGCATTCCTCCAAAATTTGATGTAATTTATAAACAGGTAAAGAACAGAGCTTGGTTAATAGATAATGTCTACCTTTGTTTTTTGAAATAGAAATTAGGTCCGAAATATTTGTATTGTTGGTACGAAATTTTCTTTGATTGCGATTTATTCTATGCCCATGAGAACGGTTTTTACGAACTGGTTTAGAAATGATATCCAAAATATTAACAGAATCTGTTCTTGATATATTACTAATTCCCATGATATTGTCATTAATACCGAGAGGATAGAATGTCTGTAATTTTTTAATCCAATTTGAATCAATATTTTTCCGTGATCGTACAAATTTTGAATGAGATTCCCCATGCTGCTTATTAACTACTTCTAAGAGTTGAACTGTTAAATATTTAAAAGGATGATTGTGCTTCTTAATGTGTTGATAAATGATACTTTTGAAATTATGGGGTCTTTTAAAACGATAAAGGTCTTCTTGCGTGCGTTTAGATAAATATCGTCCAGTTTCACCTACGTACTGAATACCGCAGCCCGGTTTGTTTCCTGTGAGTAAATATATAATATTGTTAGTTTTTCAATTGATATCAGTTTCAAAATTTAAGGAAAATTTGCGACCATTAAACGTGGACCTTACCGTATTATTGGTGGAAAGACGGGGACATGTAAGTCATTTTTTGGCAAGACACTTATAGATAGAAGGGTAACCACGATTTTTGTTATTAAAAATGTTAGCGATTGTAGTATTTATAGATAAGCGATTTTGAAGATTGAGACGTATAGATACCCTTTGAACGAGTTTAGTATTTAGTATTTTTCTATTTCGAAGTTTCATTATTTGTTTTTTGTTGTCCGTTTTTCTAATTGAAAGGAACAAAGAATGGCGTCCAGAATATGAACCAGCACACAGGAAGAGAATAAAGTAAAAAAAGATAAAACTGTTCGACTAAAGACCTCAAACGCTATCCGTCATCAAGTAACCGAAAAAAATACGTTAACAACAAAACCTGAGGATAACAAACAAAAGACAAGGTTTATCAGTGTAGCGCCTGACGTCTGACTCAATAGTAGAATGAGGCTGAATAGTGAAAACTGTGTTTTAAATAAATATTCCTAAAGTAATGACCTTTATATGATTAGATAAGCTAAGTAGTAAACATTTTATCCGAAATACTACCTGTGATAAAAGCTAATATCTGAAATGTTCGTCTGACACATTTTTGTCCTCTTGTCTTTGAAAAACACACGAAAAGGAACGCAGACAGGAATGTAGCTGTTGAGCTTACACATCCCACAACTTGACAAACATAGGCTGCGGTCAACCAACCTGTTGATACAAAAGGTAACTTCAAACAACTTATTAACTAAACATGTATTTTGAAGTAACAGATACGTTCAGATGGAGTTATTATTAACACCAATGTATATAATACAACTCATTAATGAAACAATTGTAGTCAACCAACCAACAGGTATACCTCATTTATGATATAACTAAATACGAATTGTTACTAGATTTTTGTTTGTTAAAACAACAGGATGTTAGCCATTAGTGGTTCAGAAAATGCTTAACCTACCGGAACCACGAGTTCAAATCGGTTGTCGTGTTGCTCACTCTTTAGTTGGTTGTGATTGTTGTTTTTGGAGGGTTTCTTTCTCATGACTGTGGTGTTGTTTGACTTTAATTAACTTCTGGTTTTTTTACCCCCTATGCCCTTTTGTATCTTCTTACTTTTTGACAAGATAGGTACTTCCCGAAATGAAAGTTATATATCATGTATATTGTACTCATCTTATTCAAAAGAACACGTATACTGCAACCCATTAAACATAAAGAACAATTTTGTCAATAAATACGGAAGATCTGTCTCAAACAGCTGACCTAGTGTAGCAAACCAACCCAGTTTGGAATGAAAACGGATCACATGAAGAAAAAAGTCTAATTCGAGCAGTGTTTAAAACTTAATATCATTGTTTTATATAAAATCGTTTTGTTTGAGTCAGCCCTGCGGTTGAATGCACAAGAAAAACTAAATATTGTCGCAATTTTGCATGATCTAAAGAAATCAGGGACCACTATTCTAAAATTTCAAAAATTCAGACTCGACATGTTCTTTGGCGGTCAAAATTGCATTCAGATATCAAATAATTTACAAGGCCGTCAAGTTTTTTTTAATTGTTTCACGTTTTGTGAAAATGGGGGCTTCTATAGTGTACTATACTGTATTATATTTTGCTCATTGTTGAAGGCCGCACAATGTCATTGGTTGTTAACATCCTAGTCCTTTGGTATCTAGAGGATCTGAGAAGATGTCACATTTTCAATCACACCATATCTTTTATCTTTATTTGTAACATGGTAATACCTGATGCCCAATCCTGTTATATTCCATATTTCCTGTCTGCACTGAATACACACAGTAACAGAGGGAATATCATTGAACCGATTAAGTTATTTGATATGTAAATAATGTCGTTTTGCAGGAGTTAATGTGTAGAGGGTACTCCGATATCAGAGAGACTTTTGAATTAAAATGTCCAAAATTACTAACAAAAGTAACACCCCTTTGTGCGATAAATATAAAATAAGGTTATAATTAATCATAACACGGCACTAAAACTATCTTCCTCTTTCGTAATAAATTGTTTCAATGCGAGAAGTAATAGATTTTCATTATACATGTATTTTATATTCACATAATTGTTTGCATTTTACTATCATTTTTATCCATTCGATCATTACCATTTATTATAAATCCGTTTGTGCCAATAACCAGATAATATATTGTCTATTCTTAAGCTTAATCACAGAAGCATGACCAGAAGGCACAGAAGCATAACGATATTTGACGCAATGAAAATATCATAGTTATTTATGTTATACATATAATTAATATCTGACTAGACTTTTGATTTTTATATCATAATGTAAAATATGTTTACACACCTGTATCAAATACATCACAACACACAACTGGTATATTCTTTATATTTGTAAGATGATGACAAAGAAAATTAAGTCCATGTTGGGATGTTGACGAAACTGACCACTTGTTCCCATTAAAACCCACTATTTGCAATATGATTCCTATCAACAGGATCCAAATTGTATATCTTATACATCCAGTGCATGCCACAAAGTTGTCTATTCCTAACAATAACGTGTCTGCCACCGACATTATTCATGTTATTCTAGTTTCATTTTCGATTACTATAAATAGAACTTAAAATATCTTTTAAGAAAATTTTCCGCGGCAAGATGGGAGGAACTTTACATGTACAGTTAGTTGGATGAGCAAAGTTGATAATAGATTAGATGATTATTGCTGTACAATGATACAGACAAAACTAGTGAAAAAATATATATTTTGTTTCCTATGAGATTTAAGTGGAAACATTCCAACATGAGTTTCAAATCAAAGCTTGTTCGTGTACATATGTTATTAAAAAAAAAAGATTTTCTTTCAGACATATTTCAGTAACCCATTTTTCTACGACCATATATCCTATACAGATATCAGTGTGTAAGTTATCAAATGCACAATTTATCCTAAAATACAAAATATGAACTCAATGCATAAAAAGAACTATATTGGTTGTGTTGTATGCATTTAGTCAAACCCACCAAAGTATCTTTACATCTATACCCTTTACTTTTAAATTTGTTTTGATGAAATTGATCATTATTCAGATTTTCATTGATTTTTCAATAATTGTTAATATGATATCATCTCTCGCGCTGCCGCGAGTCATCGCTTTTATATGATTCCAGCAAAACAATTCACTAGAGTTACCTCGCGTTTGATTAAAAAATTGAAAACAGCACTCTACAAATTTGATGTGTCCGAAACGTTTTTCTGGATTTCCCTTCCTCAGGAATGCTCAAACCCGAATATTTAAAAGCCAAGGATGTATAAGAACCGGAAACAGTTGAGCTAAATGACCAAAAGTATCCAAAATTAGTAACCAAATCCATCTACGGTGAAATTTGTCTGAGGAAGTTGAAACCTTAGTTTCTCAGTAATATTTTTTTAATTCATAAACGGAAAATTTAAGAAAGGTTTGTTATAAATTATGTCAGGACCAAAGTACTGACTACTGAGATGATGAAACCCTCGGGGACTGAAAGTTGAATTTGTTATATTTTCTCAAAACTACTTTTTTTCATGACTTTGTAGTCAATGTTCATTTACTTAAGAACTAAATGCTTCTTTTTGTAAATTTATTGGGGTGTTAAAGCGTTGACCGAAGTTCATTTTGTATGAAGCGCGAAAAAATGTGCGCACGGTCAACGCTTTTACAACCCTATAAAATTACTAAAAGAAGCATTCAATACTTATAATTACATTTTTTTGCTAGGATCATGAAAACACGATTTCTATCAAGTTTTTCTTTTATTTACCTGTGCATTTTATTGTGGAAGCTCATGTCATCATGAATGTTACATTTCATTTTAGCCTGTTAGCCAATAAAAATAACGTATTCTAATGAAACATACATGTAATGTAATTGTTTGCAGTTAAAAGAGAGTTATGACGAATATGCACACTAGGACAATTAATAACTAAGTCGTGAACAGAGTTTTAAACATGTAATTGTATTATATTTTTATATTTTCAGTGAAGAATTTTATTTTATAAATTAATTATGATTCTACGTGTATTATAATTAAGTTTCCTATAAAAGTGAATCAATCCGTGGTTTGCATATTAATTTTGCATTTCATCACGATACGGCTAATTGCTGTATATCATTTATTCTATTAACTCTTAAAAATATATATCCTGTTACTTGCTACTTCTAATAAAGGATGTTTGTAAATTTACCGCTTTTTGAAATTTATTTTTTCAGTTTGTTCTTATGTAATGCTTTTATATCACAATGTTACAGCATGGTTCAAGGTTAAGAGAAGGATCGAGCGATCACAAACATGTCAAACCCCATTACGATCAAGAATCCTGTAATCCAGTGACTTTAGTGGTTTAATATCTGCCATATTTGTTTTTCAGTCATTGTTTTAGTTCAAAATCTAGTTGGTTTTCTCTTTTGATTTGTTTCACATTCTGTCATACTGGGACCTTTTGTATCTCACTACAGTGTCTCATTTACAATAATACCACATCTTCTTATGTTATTTATGGAACACAAAATAATTGCCTATGAGACAACTATGCACGACAGACCAAATAACGACGATGTAAGTGATTATTCGCCCAACATTCCATACTGACAAGTGTGTTTATTTTAAGAAATTCCCTAACGGTAAACCAAGTCAAGATGGCGTCCATAAAACTTTGATAGATGTTATCTCAACCTTAGCTTTGAGAACCTTTCGTTTGGCTGCTTACTTGTATCCGGACATACTCACTTAAGGAAATCATGATAAGAAACAAAAATGCGCTGGTATATATTATAATAATAATAACTGAGAGATTTCACTTCTCTTTTGTTACAAATAATATAAAAAAGGAGGAGATATGGTATTATTGCCAATGAGACAATATCCACAAAATTTCGAATGAAATGGATTCAATTATAGGCAACCGTTCGGCTTTCAACAATGAAAAAACCCCATACCGTAAAGTCGGCTATAAAAGGCCCCGACATGAAAAATATGAATCAATTAGATTGAGAAACTAACGACCTAATTTATAACAAAACAATTTACAAAAATCTGTTTCAAGAAATTTAGATAAAAAAGTTATTGAAAAAAAAAACATTCAATGAAAGAGCATCAGGAACTTAAAGATTAAGGGTAATGCTAGCTTTTTTTTTAAAATTTTCTCACGGAAACCCTCTGTTAAATCTGTATGATACGAATATACAATGTAGGAGGTAGATAGTAAGTTAAGGAATATAATTAGTTCAAACAGAAATGCCAATTTTCTTCTCAAAACTCAACAAATATGTTGTAGATAAACATACATTCCGATGAGGCTAATTGGGAGAACTCTCTGTTCAATCAGACTGATTATACAAAAAGAAATAACAATGCATTGTCCCGCCTTGTATATACTTAATAAAAATTGAAACAAACAATCAAAATTTTTTTAATATGTTTTAAGTTCAGAATGAGAAATATCAGTTTAAATGTGGATAAAACTAATGTTTCAATACTATTGCACAATCAGGTTATTGGATTTCAGAACTTTAAACATAAACTGTAATTTTAGAATTCGTAGAGAGAGTAGTAATTATCTGAACTCAGATACACAGTGTTAATAAAATAAACACCTTATAAATATCGTGCGTCTTCACCAAGAAGAGCTCAAACTAAAATTAAAACACTTGATAGCCAATTTCAACTTAAGTGAAATTTATAATTGATGATAATTTTAATCGTTGTACAGTTAATCTCGTAGGTCAAAATTTTAAATAGATGGATGGACGGAATTATTTCACATTTGCAGGCCAAGTATTTTGAACTCATTTCAGTAAGTGCGTGCTTTCATTGATAATGTATATCATTTCAAAGACTGTTCACACTACCAACAATACCAAAATCCGTATTGTCAGTAGAGTGTGTCTGCGCTAAACAGTTAACGTTAAATAAGAGAACTGAAGCATGTAACATTTCATTAAATTTTTTTTATAAAACTTTAGTTCAAATTATCGTGATTTTTTGGATGACATTGATTATTGATTTGTTATAATCATTTTGTTTTACGACATTTTGTCCAAAACGTTACATAAAAGATTTCTTCATTGTAATCAAACGTTTAAACTTCTCCCCAGAGAAAGAATGTTGGTTATCATTAAACATATTTCATTTTTTGTCAAATCTGTTTTCTGTCCAAATTTGAAAGTGTTACAAGTTTTAATTACTTAAAAAAAGAGGAATTCATTCTATTTGCAATTTGCTGATTTTAAAATTAATGAATTTAACAAACATGTAGTCGTCAAGTAATCTATATTATATCATACTCGAATATTCGTCAAGACTGTTGTGTAATTATAATAAAACTACTTGAATATGATCTTAAAACTGATTGAGCAAAGTCTCGAAAATAACTAACACATTCAACTTTATATGAATCTGTTTTATTTTAAGCTTTCTCCCTATAAACTATAGGTGATGCGAGCAAAAGTCGCAAATTATAACCCGGCTCTTGCAAAATCTAAATAAGTTTTTGTAAGGGAAATCCCCCAAAAAATAATTAAAATCAAATACAAAATATGAGGTGCACAATGGCATAATATGGTCAAGATTCTGATAAAATTTCTTTAAAAGAGAGGCGAAAGATACCAGAGGGAAATTCAAACTCATAAGTCGAAAATAAACTGACAACGCCATGGCTAAAAAAGAAAAAGACCAACAGACAAACAAAAGTACACAAAACACAACATAGAAAACTAAAGACTGAGCAACACGAACCCTACCAAAATCTGGGGGTGATCTCAAGTGCTCCGGAAGGGTAAACAGATCCTAAATTATGATTATGGATTTAGGGAAGGGAGCGGATACAAATGCGTAATATAGTCAGATATGGCAAAGTCCATGTCATCCCAAAGTAAACACTGAGAAGCAGGAGGTTTAATGATGTAATATTTCAAAATATTTGTATACTTAAGATATAAGAACTAGTGAGACGACCTTATTGTACGATAGTCGCAATGCCTTATACCCATGTTATGAGTACTTACGTCTAACGTCTCATATCTATAATGTTTTTATACATTAAAAGTTAATTTGAAATTCAATAGCTAGACTATTTAGACTGTCTTTCACGTTTGATATCAGCGTATACAAAAATAAGACATACTAAGGGCTTAAAAACAATGAAGTCGATTGACAAAAAACACACATAATTCATGTCACTGTTGGACAATGAATGTGTTTAATGGACGCCATTACGACTGGCAAATACACAGTTATTGCCTCTGAAATAGTTTGAAATATATTCCCTTTTTGCGTCTTGTGTTCCCACATGGTTCGAGGAAGGGTGCCATCTGGTAGAGTAGGACACACCTAAATGGCATGACAATACGGATATTGTGTCATTAAAATTTGCTGTTACAATTATGGAAATCATTTTTTAATATTGGAACATATATCTCCCTCATGCAAAGCTCTGATTACTTGTCCGGCTTTTTGCTAAACGTTTTATACTTTTTTATTTTCAAATATGTTGGTCTCGGGCATCACTCAAGATACATTTATTGTCAAAATGCGCTTCTGGAGCAGACAAACTTGTACCGTTAATGTACTTACCTTTTGAACATCTTGAATAATTCTTAGTTGTTACAGGAGATAGTTTATAAACCAAGATTAAGCTGTCAGTGTTTATTGTTTACATTATTCAAAGTTGCTGCCTTCAAACGTCCAAATGTGTATGGAAACGATGGCTTTTTGAAAACTCAGGGGTTTTATTTTATTCTTTAATCTGTATACTGCGCCAAGAGACCATAAAAATATACACATTATTTATTTAAGTTTTTGGTTTTTTTTTATGTTGTCTTATCTTTTCGTATGAAAATGCAACATGTTTTTACCTTGTCGTCTCCAATACTGTTCTAGTCTATACTTCTGGATAGAATAAACAAATTTGAACAAAACATGTGTTATTTGAACTTTATTTCCAAAGAAGAATTACAATGTATTCATACAGCATAAACATTATTTATTTATCAATTTAAAAATGCAGGTTGACAATTTATAATTTTATCATCTTTGCCTACATTAAGCATTCTCGCTACCTAAATAATTTTGGTGTACTTTGTTTTTTATTTATATTCAATGTTCAGGCAAACATAGCTGTATTCTTAAATATGAAATATATTTCGCATGTATAATAAGTACATGCACCATAAATGGGTCATATGTAGGTGCGGCCAAAAATGCAAACACCGTTAATTAATTTGAGAAAGTTGAAATTAAGATGGATTTTTAAAAATAATTCAAGACGAATTTGAAAAAAAGATTTATGTATTGATTGGACCAACAACCTTTACTAAATTTTCATAATTTGAAAATGAGTCTTAATATTCGACAAAAATATAAGACAACATTGCAATTATCTACAAATGTACATGCACATTTTTTTGATATGTTTTACCTTTTTAACAAATTATAATTTAAAGTTGTATACACGAAATTGTTTTTGATATCAATATTCATGAATATGATTTGGTATCATTTTTGCTTTTATTCTTCATCTGTAAGTCCTCTTGGATATGCTTCTCTTTTTCGTCTGGAAAAAAAAATAAAACCAGATAATACACGTTTACAGAAGAAAACTATACAGGAAAGTATTTGCCTGATTTCATAAAGTAGAATCTTGTGACCATATTTCTCACCTTTTACACAACACATTTACACAACAGAAACCACAATGTGTTGAAACGGCTATCACGAATATTGCATATTACAAAAAAACTATGAGTGACGTAACGATAATTCGATGACTTTGATTGGATAAGCTTACTAAAAACCAACTTATCAAGTTATGTGTATATCAATAAAAATATTTTTTCAAAGCATAATTAACATACAAGCCTGTAGTTCAATGGTTGTCGTTGGTTCATGTCTACCATACAAACGGTATGGGTTTTTCTCATTGTTGAAGGCCGTACAGTTGCCTATAATTGCTTACATCCACTTCATATGAATTTGGGTGGATAGTTGTCGCATTGGTAATCATACCACATCTCATTATTTTTATATACAAAACTATTTGACTTAATGGTTATTTGAAATTGACGGGGAAAAAACTGTAGTACTGAATAATTGATAAAAGATTTTGTGAAATAGTTTTAATTACGAAAAGATTTTGTGAAATAGTTTTAATTACGAGCCCATAAATCGTAATCGCTATATCAACATTCTATTGTCAGGCATTTCACGGTACCTACCCACAATGTGAGGTTAAAACAATGACAATATTTGAACAGTCAATATTTACGGTAAAAGATAATGGTTTTGTTTTTTAGATATTAGTACTACGTAAATATTAACATAATGGGATAACGTTCTATTAGAGTTTTCTGGAAAATTAAACATGCAACAAAACCTAAGTTAAAGTTTACGTCATCTTTGAGTTTTGACAACCACTGGGTCGATGCCACTGCTAGTAGACGTTTCGTCCTTTAAAGTATCACCAGCCCAGTAGTCGCCATTCATGTGTTGACCTTGACACAGAACTGCCATTGTTTGTAAAATGTAAAAGGTAAAAAATCGTTCAAAACACAAAGTGTTTCTACCTCAGGCCTTAATAACCTTAGCCAAATTTGGCACAACTGTTTAGAATTTTCGGTGTTCAATAATTTTTATCTTCGTAACTGGTTTAACCTTCGAGCTGTTCTTATTCGCCACTGGTGAATCCTCTTTAGACCAAACACGCTTCTTGCGTACTAAATTAAAAACTGATATCTTTGATGATATAAAAAAGGAGACGGGATATGATTGCCTATGAAACAACTATCCACAGGCCAATTGACAAAGTTTTTGGTAATTGCAAGTCACCGTTCGGCCTTCAACAGTTAGCATACATATATCGTATAGTAAGCTAAAAAAAAAACACAGTTTCTACAAAGAACACCAACGGCTTGATCTACATTACAACAATAAACGGAGGAAAATATGAAAAACAGCATTCATCAAACACCACTGGATTAAAGGTACATGGCTTCAGATGGGCACATAAATAATGTGGCGGTGTTTAACATGTGAGTGAGCGCTCAATCCTCATCTAATTTTGGACAGTGGTGGAACAACACATCATGAGATCACACTGCAAAGCTCAGTTAGAAATGGTTCGACTCATTAGATTGGCACTAAGCACGAAACCAAATAACAAAAAGACAAAATACACAAGGAACCTATCTAAGAGTTCTTGCAGTTATGGAAAGAAAGCCAAAAGCCAATTAAAAATAAACCATATTCTTTCAGACTAAGGTGTCAGCAGTGCACCCCGAGTTAGGGCAAAAGATAGGCAAAGGATACCATCAATGTATCAAACAAAAAAAAAACAAAAAACATTCAATGTAAGTACCGATAAAGATATTATTCACAAAACTTATATTACTACGATGCTGAATTGATAGCCTTTATGAATGAATTAATTCAAAGGAACAATAAGTTATAAGTTATAAGTTATTGATGGAATCCTTACTTACGATTTGAAAAAAACCAAAAACACATCACCGTAAAAATAAGGATGTGATATACTATGCGTTATAAGATTTTTTTACAGATACAACCAAAGTTCAAAACCAAATATTTATATTTATGAAAGAATTTAGTAAATGTTTAAAAGTAAGTCGGGTTAATAAAATCCCTGACTTACTGATTAATTATAAGTTTAAAGTGTCAACATTACTGACTTTTTACATCTTCTACATGTAGATTGTCAAACTTTAGTACTCCATTTATCAATAAAAAATCTATATCTGAATTACAGACGTTAGGTCATCTCTAACATTACAATTGTAAATGATCAGTTATATAAAAGAGCCAGGAAATAAAGCAAATATTTTGTTAAAAAATTATTTATTTTACACCCCCGACGTCTGCAAAAAAATCTTCAAACGTGTACAAATGTCAAAGGGAAACGTTTGAGCTATACCATCGTTAATATTTCAAAGTCTTCCAGACACGAACCATATCAAAACATCAATCTGAAGTCTTCAAAAATTTGTATCGATTAGAATATAATACCTTATTTAATTTTAAAGAATGATACACATGGAATGCTACAACCAAACAATCTTTAATGCATAATCTGTAACATGATGCAAACACAATTACTTGGGATGTGCATTCACAAATATCTTCATAGGGAGATTGATTAATGCTGATTTGCAGATATACATATTTTATTATGTCTCATCTGTGAAGTAAATTGATTGATACATAAAGGCACCAGTAGTATACCGGTGTTCAAAAGTCACAAATCGATTGAGAGAAAACAAATCCGGGTTACAAACCAAAACCTAGGGAAACACATCAACTATAAGAGAAAAACAAAGGAACAACAGGAAAACCGAAGTGCAACAAAAACAAACGCCAACACACATGGAAACGAACTATTTGATAACAACTGCCATATTCCTGACTTGGTACATTTTAAGAAAAAGTGTTGGGTTGAACCTGGTTTCATGACATGCCAAACCTCCCGCTTTATGGAAATGTTAAAAAATATCGCTAAAACACTACGTGACAGAAATACAGCACAAACACACGCAAGAACATTCATAACAGAGAAATGCACAAACAACATAATATTGATATATGCAGAAAAAGCCTTAAATTCTTATTATTGAAAATTGTGTTCCATTGTAAAACTTATATTGTATATACCACATTTATGGTGTTACTACTTTTGTGTTTTAACTTATATCATGTTAAAAAGTTTTTTTTTATTTTGCATTTAATCAATGCATGCTTTAATTCTCATTTCATAAAACGTATCAAACAAATTTTTAAATGGAAATGTATTTCATCACATTATGAAACACCATATAATTCTGATAAATACTACACAGAATACTAGAATGTATCTATATCACATTACAATTGTAAATGATCAGTTATATAAAAAAAGCCAGGAAATAAAGCAAATATTTTGTAAAAATTATCTATTTTACACCCCCGACGTCTGCAAAAAATCTTAAAACGTGTATAAATGTCAAAAGGGAAACGTTTGAGCTATACCACTCTTAAAATTTCAAAGTCTTCCAGACACGAACCATATCAAAACATCAATCTCAAGTCTTCAAAAAAAATTGTAACGACTAGAATATAATACCTTATTTAAATTTTAAGAATGATACACATGGAATGCTACAACCAAACAATCTTTAATGCATAGTCTGTAACATGATGCAAACACAATTACTTGGGATGTACATTCACAAATATCTTCATGGGGAGATTCATTAACAGAGAAACGCACAAATACATAACATTGATATATGCAAAAAAAGCCTTAAATTCTTATTATTGAAAATTGTGTTCCATGGTAAGACTTATATTGTATATACCACATTTATGGTTTTACTACGTTTGTGTATAGAATATGAATTGTTTTACTTGTATCATGTTAAAAAGTTTTTTTTTTATTTTGTATTTAATCAACGCATGCTCTAATTCTCATTTCATAGAACGTATCAAACAAATTGGAAATAGGAAATGTATTTCATCACATTATGTAACACCATATAATTCTGATAAATAGTACACATAATACTAGAATGTATCTATATCAGTCGAAATACGGAAGGAGATAATGGTATTACCAGTAAAAGACAACGTCTGCTGCGATAGTCGCATCTGATGTTATATTTCTTTTTCAATGTTTAACGATTACAAAATCAAACACAAAGACAAATAAATTACTTGATTTACAAATATATTGGTATAACGTTTTTCTATCTTTACCCTAACTTTTGATATTTAAATGGATTCTATATAACTCCTCCCGGATTTAAGTTTGAACATACGAATATATGTTCCGTTACATAAAATATGAATTATTTTTAAGCAAACAATGCATATACATTTGATAGCTGTTGTTTAGAACTTTAAAATTCATAAATTTCAAAACAGTGCTTTCATTGACTAAACACTTAATTATTGTGTGTTGATGATAAATTAGTGGCAAGATGCTCTTTGCTTCAACTTTGTACTCTATTTTGGCTTTTTAAATTTTTTGATACGAGCGTCACTGATGAGTCTTTTGTAGACGAAACGCGCGTCTGGGGTGTAAATGTTTTTTTTTTTAAATTTGGTATCTTTAATGAGTTTATTTGAGATCATTCAGTGCTAGCCTAAAATTGGACAATTTAGAGGTAGTCAAATGGGGGGAAAAAACACATGCATATTATGAAGACTGTACATTGACCTCTAGATCACTTTCTTGGTTTTGCTGTTATGTTGGATTGACATTCTTATTACTACGAATAGATGTAATCATATTTACTTTGCTTTCATCTTATATTACATTCCGATTTTTCATATAATTCGATCTAAACCATTGTTACTAAACGTGTAAATTGATCATAATGTCCTATCATGTGACGTGTCAAAGACATACCACTGAGAATAACGAAGACGCATAGAGATCTTCATCCACGCAACCCCTATGTCAAGCTTTATAATCATACATATAATCGACTATTATTGAATCTAATTCTTTAGCCAGACTGTTTGTTTTTTTGTTTTTTCTGTAATAATCAAAAACATAAATGGTGAAACTATGATGGAATCGTACAAATTGATATTGAAAAACTGTTGGCTGCACTCATATTTACGTAAAATTGTTTTTTCTTTCCCACGAATAGTAGTGACATATCGGTTTAACGTATCATTCCAGCTAAGTTCGCACCTTTCCTGTGTTATATTGGATAGATTAATTTTAAAGAATGTATATGAATAATGCCAAAACATTTGAAACAAATAAAAAAAAACGTGATAAATACCAATAATTATTGGTAATACTTTATCGCCGAATATGTCTTGTTCCACATTTGAACATGAGTAGGCGTCTGGTTGGCGATACGAAATGTACAAATAGTCTGGCATGTCTCATTTTACTGAAGGCGTAAGATCCAATGTACATATGTTTTAAAAAGTCAGTGCAATATTGCATTACGAGAGGTTGAGAAGTGATCGGTTGAAAAGCTAGATATCTGACAATGTTGAGAAGTGATCGGTTGAAAGGCTAGATATCTGACAATGTTGAGAAGTGATCGGTTGAAAGGCTAGATATCTGATAATGTTGAGAAGTGATCGGTTGAAAGGCTAGATATCTGAAAATGTTGAGAAGTGATCGGTTGAAAGGCTAGATATCTGACAGAGAGGTTGAGAAGTGATCGGTTGAAAAGCTAGATATCTGACAATGTTGAGAAGAGATCGGTTGAAAGGCTAAATATCTAACAAGTTTGAGAAGTGATCGGTTGAAAAGCTAGATATCTGACAATGTTGAGAAGTGATCGGTTGAAAAGCTAGTTACCTGACAATGTTGAAAAGTGATCGGTTGAAAGGCTAGATATCTGACAATTGCGTTTGTTAAACAGCAACAACCTTTATCTTTATTCTAAATAGACACATCAAAGATACCAAGTTTATAACTTTGTATGCCAGACTAATTAAAGATACCAAGTTTATAACTTTGTATGCCAGACTAATTAAAGATACCAGGTTTATAACTGTGTATGCCAGACTCATCAAAGATATCAGGTTTATAACTGTGTATGCCAGACTCATCAAAGATATCAGGTTTATAACTGTGTATGCCAGACTCATCAAAGATATCAGGTTTATAACTTTGTATGCCAGACTCATCAAAGATATCAGGTTTATAACCTTGTATGCCAGACTCATCAAAGATATCAGGTTTATAACTGTGTATGCCAGACTCATCAAAGATATCAGGTTTATAACTGTGTATGCCAGACTCATCAAAGATATCAGGTTTATAACTTTGTATGCCAGACTCATCAAAGATATCAGGTTTATAACCTTGTATGCCAGACTCATCAAAGATACCAGGTTTATAACTGTGTATGCCAGACTCATCAAAGATATCAGGTTTATAACTTTGTATGCCAGACGCACAATTTGTCTACAAAAGTCTTATCAGTGACGCTCATATAAAAATAAGTGAAAATGCCACGAATTCGAAAAGCATTTAGGACCCCAAATTCAGAAAGGTTTTGCCAAATAAATCTAAGTTAATATATTCCTGGGGTAAGGTCCTTTGTATTTCGAACAATTCAGTTTTGTAAATAGCAAATTTATATATACATATATAATTTACTGATTTTTTTCTTTCTCGGTATTAATACTTTAACAAAGTGGTATTCAACCTTGATTTTAAGTTCTTTGAGTGAAGTACATTTTGTTGTCCCCTATTTTTCAACTATCGAACATGAACTTAGTACGACCTTTTGGGGAACAGCGACACATGAGTATTGTAAGAAGCACTTTGATTCACTTATCAAAAGGTATTACATTAATTTATAATCATCTTATGACAACCAATCAACAGTTGTTTGTTCTTTTTATAGCATAAATATAGCAAAATTGGATTTTCATAGTGGATTAAATAATAACAATGGCATTTATATGTACAACCTATTGTTTAGAGAAACATTTTCATGGTGAGAGAAAATGATATTGGAATATATAAATCAAAAGCTATCCTAATCAATACTGTTTTGAAATTCAATTTGATACCACAATTCTATATCCCTATCCGTTATCCTGATGGAGGGTCTGGATGGGGGTCCTCCATTTCTGTATTCTTTAGTTTTTTATGCCATTTTTCTCTATTCTTGATAATTTGTTACCATTATTCTCTAATCTTTATATTTGAGCACCTCATTTTCTTTATTTTTGTGGTCCATTTTTCTCTATTCTTTATATTTTTGCCCATTATTCTCTATATTGTAAACCCCCATTCACACCCTCCTGATGGTACGTTAATTGTAATTGTCCTTTTTTGTCCTCCTGGCTAGTGACCTTTGTAACCTCTATCTCTTGGTTTGTATATATTGTAAAAAGTTATTGTTGTTGTTAATTCTGTACCGATGTTATGCATTGTCTTTATAAGAATAAAGATAGATATATCAAACAAGAAGATTTGAAATTCAAGGACGAGGAGCATAAAAACAGACGTTGACTGATACACCAACTATAAACCGTTTTTTGTAATAGTTCCCAATTCAAAACATTACCTGTAACATCTATATAATCCAGGTATAGTGCTTTCTACGCATAATTTGTGCAGTAAATCAATTGATTGTTCATCTGAATCACTTCCTTGTTGTGTTTGTTGATCTTCTATAACTGGAAACATGTCTATACTTTTGTCGCCATTTCCTGAAAAATGTACAACTACTGTATGTTTTTTGCTGAATGAAACACAAATCAATTTAACAATTAATAATTGTTTGCTTAAAATAAATTACTGTGTTACTTTCCGTAAATGTCTGTTTTTTTCTATAACAGACTTCTAAAGAACCATATGTTGACCTGGAAAGCGTCATTATGTGAACAATATTTTACTATAAAGGATTATGGTGATAAACTTTTCTTCATTTGTAAAACCTTTTGGCTTTTAACAGAGTAGAAAGCAAACGAAGGGAGGCAACCCAAAACCATACGTCTAAAAAAGATATAAAACACAATGATAAAAAGAGAAAAGAAAAGACAAACAAACAAACAGACAAAAGTTAAACAACGCTAAATAAAGCATTGGACATTGACCGACAGGAATCCCACCAAATTCCAGGGGTGTACTAAAGAATTCCGTAGGGGAAGGCAGATCCTGCTCAATCAACCATTTCTAAAAAAAATCCAAAACCCATTACAAGGTTAGGTTCAACCAAAGAATCGAGACGATAAAATAACAATTTCAATTGATATGTTTAATTTGAGTTCGTAAGGACGAATAAAATGAAGAATTAAGTCGATTTGTCTTATCAGATATTGTATCTGTTAGTGGTAATTGGTATTGAGTGTTCAGTAATAACATTGCAACTCTTGATAAATGATATGGTATTACCACTATAACAAATGTAACATTGGTGTTTTCTAACCATTCTCGAGGGTTTTTGATTTTTCTGTAGAAAATATTTTCATTAATTACAGACGTTTTACTACAAGTTTTCAGATCAATTTGACCAGCGTTTCAGGTAACATCAAGACAAAATAAAACGATATTTGATATAGGCACTAATATGATGATTTGGGTATTATTCCATCTACTTCGTTTGTCTAAAATGAACTCTACTGAGCTAATCTGTCTCAGTGTTAAGTGCAGATAACTGAATGATATTGACATTGGTATTTTGGTCTGCTGTTGACAGCTTAGAGAGGATATTTCTATGTTCGAAACATTAAATATAATTTAGCAATTTAAAAGCTATTAAACTTCTCTAGATAGATCTATACATGCTAATTAGCTTCATAATAAATAACGTTCATGCTGTTTGCTGGAATCATTGCATAACATAGGGCAAACGCATATACATGGCAATATTGTTGTTTACTATGGGATTTTTTTTTACTTTTTACAATTAAGAAACACGAGAAGGTATTTTGTCATTTTCAGATTCAGTTTATAAAAGTGTTCCATTTTTTGGCTGCATTCCATATTAAATAGAATCTTCCATAAGCTATTCGGATTTAGAAGAACCTTTCCGCTTAATGCAATTATACCATATAGTTTTAATCTATACTCTGGTGAAGACAGGATAAAATGTATGTCTGTAATTTAAGTGTTATATAGCCAATAAATCATTGTTAACTTTATGTATTTTACGATAAATAAACTCTCATTGTGATATCTGCTGCATTCTAGGAGAAATTCATTTTATACATACGTGTGTCTGTCATTATTCTGGATTTGATTAAGGTACTGATAAAGGTTAAAGTGCATTTGGCTTTTTTACTAACTTCTCGAGCATACCTGATGATTGCGTTCATACAGTACCAAATCAGGAATATGACAGTTGTTTTCCATTCGTTTGATGTGTTTGAGTTTTTGATTTTGCCATTTGATAAAGGACTTTCCGTTTTGAATTATCTTTTGGGTTCGGTATTTTTGTTATTTTACTTTTTACTTTATTAACTTATCAACGATGTTGCTCTGTATGAAATAGTGTACGCTCTGTTTTTAAAATATGCTGAAGATGCTGAAGATATAAAAAAAAGTTTCCTAAATCAAAATGTATCCCTCTAATATAAACTTAGTTCCATCTTTCGGTAACCTTCATGTCAATGAGTCAGTTCTATGACAAGAACCTTACCAGTAGACCTGTTACGAAAAGGTATATACTCGACGCTGAGGTTGACTTATTAGACTTTAAATGAGGGGACTGTGTCAAAACATTAATTATCGATTAAAACAGGTAAAATTCAGTTTGCGTGACGTTAACCAGGTATCATACACACTTCTTGATTCATTTAAAATTAGATAGATTTAGAATAATCAATTTCTGATATTATTGCTTGTGATAATAGGACGGGAAAGGTGTGCGGGGGGAGGGGGTTGATGGTTTTTTTTCAATTATGCTTTTATAGATTTTAAAAACATCACACAATAAGCCAGATTGATTTTTTTTATATTAATTACTGTTCTTCGAACATATCAATTTGTCACTCCACTACTGAACCTTGTCCCGAAAATGCATGAAATATTTGTCACTGGACGAAAAACAAACATCAATCAATCAATCTCTATTAAACCCGCACAAAGCTCTACAGTCTGGTTGATTTTTTTTTTCGGATGTCTCCATACGCTTTATATTAACTTTGAACATTTTTTAGCGCCTAATAGCGTGTTCCGCATATATAGCCGATATCCGTACGATAATCACAAGTTCATGTTTTACATTTTGTTTTTTTTCTGCTCTTGATCTACATTTAGCTCTAAGTTATGACGCCTTCAAAGGGTAACGAGCGGAGAACGGCATGCGGTATATTTTATTTTACCTAAAATGAAAAATCTTTGGGAAATCTAATTTCATATCTGGCTAATTAAAGGCAGTAAATTAAACTGTTGGGCATCATCCTGTTGTCCTAGGAAACTACTATGTGTGAATTGTATATGATTCCTAATGTCCACAAAAACCTGCGTAGGTATGGAATGCCGGTATCTGGGGTAAAATTGTGCCAGAGGCACCGTGTGTAGTCTGGAAATGGTATGAACATTTTTGTCAATTGCCGCTACCGATGTGGTCATTTTATGCCACCCTTCACGTAGTTGTCGTCAATTTTCTGTTTTCAAATAAGAATTACTTAGTGCATAGATTTCACAAAGAATCGGTATCGAAGCATCTATTTGTGCACTCGCAGCATGAACAGAAACTTCAATGAGAATGCAGGAATATATATTTAGGATGTTAAACCGGCAAATAAACGAGTCACATTTTACATCAATGCATTGAGGGTATATGACAGGGAGAATTTTATAAATGTTTGAAAGGCTGGTCAAACGGGTAAAACAATTTCATACCTTAGAATTATGAATTTGAAACTTTGCATGAATATGTATAGGATGTCTTTTTCCAAAGATCCTTATTTCAATGGGTCGAACTAGTCACATTGTACATTAAAATAATATAAGGGACATGGAGCAATTGCAGAGCAGGTATTAATAGATTATTATGTATAAAATCATTTCCAAGGTCTAATAAGGACTAGCAAGGCCAAAGAGGTTTCATGTTGGTCATATATACAATTGCCTAAAATTCACAAAGTTTCAACCGCTGAAAAAAAAACAGCACACTATATCCAAAATAAATTCATAAAAAAGAGTTGCATGTTTTCTATGTACATGCATGTACATACAACGTGCAAGGTTTAAAAGCGCCTAGGTTAGGAGTTTATCACTCAAAACGGGTACCAATTTCTTCCGCTCGCCTGCACGTCCACCCGCCCGCCAGCTTGATTTCATCATAGTATATGATAAGTCGATTTCTGTAATACCCTTGCTTCCTGTCAGTGTTCCAATAGGAAGAAATAGTTAGGGATTTATCATTTTTATTTATCGAGCATCACTGAAGAGACATTTATTGTCAAAATGCGCATCCGGTCCAGAAAAATTGGTACCGTCAATGCCATTTATTCCCCACGAAATAATTATTATGGAATATTTGTTCCATAAGTTATATTTATAAAACGAAATTGTCTATAATAAGTTTTCAAAGGGACGTCTGATATAAGGAACACATGCATTGCATATACGTGGACATCAATACTATGCGGTTTAAACACAAGATTCAATTGATACACAGGTAATCTAAATCTTTAAATCACTTTTGTGCTTTGATACGATATCCGCATTCAAATTCTAATTTGTCAACATCAGCGTCGAATATATACCATTCGTAACACGTCTAGTATTTGTCTTTAGTTAAATCTTAATGTGTTTGTACTTAAGTGGATTTAGTGTTGATTTCTGAGATCTTTAAGTTAAATCTATTGTCAAGACTCTGGACTATCTAAAATTTTATATGACAGACACTTATCTATTATTAAAGACCGTATTTTGACCTTGATATGTTCTTTGAATTTTGTGAGAGCTTGGCTGATGTATTCGTACAACCTGCGACTCGCTTATTTCAAATTTATTAGAATCTAGGGAACCAGAAGCCAAATAAATAAAATCTAAAAGGACCATCAAAGCGTAGGGCAACACAAATAAAACCAGTTCACGCTTTCTAAACCTTTGACGAGGGTGATGATTGTTTGATAAAGCTTTAAAAAATTGAGGCCTTGTTCTCTGAGTGATGTCACGCTACAAAATTCGAATAAGTATATGTTTGCGGTATACCATCTTTTCCGCAAGTTTATTGTTTTCTGTTTGGTAATAAAATAATTATAAGATCCATTTTGTTACATCTTGTGCTCCGTTTATTTGGCAATCGCCAATGGCAGTCAGCAGGGTTTAAGAACATCAGTTGTTCGACCTGCAAACATGAGGTGCAAAAATTTGTACACCATATCCGGATTTCGACAATTAATGCCTCTTCAGTGATGTTAGGAATCTAAACAGTATTTGGAAGGCCATATAATTTACCTCAATTTAGGATAGACTCTTGAATTTTGAAGAGTCGAAATAGGATGAACGGATCATATAAATCCGAAGGAAAATATAATACAAGACCAAACGAAAAAATATAAACAAGTCTAAATTGAAAACAACGTTCAAACCTATGATTGCGTTGGATAAAAACCGCAATTTTTATACGTGTGCATGCAAAACAAATGTCTTGGTAGAGGGGTCTAAATACAGCACAAACAACATTTTCGGAAAGACCAAAAAGTGAAAAAGTATATTTTAACAAAACGCATTTGACTAACAGGTCAAACAACTGATGTATTAAACCCAGCTGACTGTCATGGCGATTGCCAAATAAACATATCACAAGATGTAACAAAATGGATCTTAATTATTAATTTAATACCAAACAGAAAACAATAAACTTGCGGAAAAGATGGTATACCGCAAACATGAGGTGCAAAAATTTGTACACCATATCCGGATTTCGACAATTAATGTCTCTTCAGTGATGTTAGGAATCTAAACAGTATTTGGAAGGAAGGCCATATAATTTACCTCAATTTAGGATAGACTCTTGAATACATATATATATATTATATATATATATATATATATATATATATATATATATATATATATATATATATATATATATATGAGATCAGTTGTTTGAAATAAAGCAATGAGGGAAAATTGAAAATTTTAAATCAAACTACATCGGAGACGAAAAATGACTTATATTTCTAAATATTTGTTTGTACTAGCGTGACCTTAGTTAGATGTTTATCAATCGCGGGGCATTGCCTTCTCCTTTCCGCCGCAAATTCTATTTACTAACTATAATAATTTTACATCAGTTTATCCCTGAGGAATATAAGAATAAGTCAAGTAATTGATATTTCCTTACCAAGCTGCCATGATGAAGGGAACCGTTGATCTAACCGTTTTCCAAATCTACCCTGCGGTCGCCATTGTGGAGCACCATTTCCTGTTGCTATGGTGACAAGAAACACGACGGAGAAAATTGTTATTATTTCTGCTAGTTTCATTACCTGAAAAAGAAGAAAATGAAATCGTATTTGTGTTGATAGATTCTTTCTAAAGATACCAATTATGCATTGGACGTGCATTTCTGCTTCCAGTCGAAATGCTAAGAGGGCCAAAAAAAGAAAGTATTGAGGCTTTATTTAAATATGTAACACTGTTGTAACTACTTTGATTAAGTTTTGAATGCAATTCTTTTGCAATTCCAAATTAAAAAGCAACCGATTTTTAATTAACCTGTCTTTAATTTTGTTCCAACTTCAAAAAAGGTACAAATGGAATTAAAGTTTGATGCATGATTAAAAAGAAGTAACACAAAGTAATAAATTCACTACAATATTTTTCTTTTACGCAAGCTTCGTAGCAATAAACTAATTGGCTGATATGATATCAACACTTTTACAGATCAATTGATTTATAATGCTAAAAAAAAACTGTATCGAACATGTGGCAAGAACTTCACCGATACGCATTTTGACAAATCTTGTCCTTTGCAATCTCACAAATTTTTGGAATACGAAATTAAAACAAAAATTAAAGAGGATACTAAAGGGCAAATAAAAAACTTCAGTAAAAGAAAGAAAGAAAACACGAATAGACCAATAACAGTCAACAAAACTATACAGAAAACCGAGGATTGAGATATAGGAACCCTACTAAATTACAGGGGTAAGCGCATAAACATTGGTAGGTTCAAAACAGGTAGAATCTAGCATAAGCAAACATGTTATCCCAAAACTGTAATTAGAGTTATGCATTAAAGAGATGACACTGACTGTTTTGGTAGGGATTTTTTTTAAATACCCCATATGGACTCTTGTTACTGGGAAAGCGTTTGTTATCAGATACTCTTCAAATGTATACAAAGGTTTCTACTGGTACCTTTGATGAGTTCAGTAAACAGAATAACTGGAAAAGGGTACCATTTTTTAAGATGGACTTTTGAAAATATTCCATATTAATAATGCGGGGGCGTTGGGTTTGTGAGCTCACTCACTGACATATTTCCTCTGACCTTTTGATAACTAAAAACCCTTGTCTAAAGCGGTCTGGGCGGGCTACAAAATGTCTAAATACCTTATTCACTCCACAATGTTATTCAAAACATAAAAAAATAAAATTTGTATTCAATGATTTTTACGAAATATATTCAATGTGAAGTTCAGGTAAAGAGCTATTTGAACCTTAATACATTATTACAATTATGTCAGTGAATTTTGTCAGTGAAATTAGTTCAGATATGCAGTTTGAAGTTGTAATGCTTTCCCTGTAGACACAACCTTTTCAATGTTACAAACATTAAACTTGACATTTTCGTTTGTGGCCAAGAGTTTTGAAATTATTTTCGATGTCAATACCAAATTATTAAGCTGCTGCGATGATAAAATAATGGATTATTTATTTGGAAAAAATAAGTAATCGAGAGAAACAACATAAACTTAGATAATGACAATATTAATGTCACAATATTACAAGAGTATTCCTAAAATAACAGTAATCCGCTCGAAACGCTCAGAAAAATATATTCGTTTAATAGAACAAACGAATTATGTTGGTTCATAAAATGTGCTAACAACTTTGAATGTTTTATAAAATAGTTAATACAACACACGTGATGTGTACGTTTTGATCCCTTATTTGTGAGTCAAAACTATTAGATGTGATAATGCCTTTAAATTCTGCTAAAACAATCACTTTATTTTTCAAAACAACAACACAAGAGAGTATTTCCATGTGAAACTAATTTAAGGTAATGGTTTGACTTCTCTTAATTAGAGACTAAAAAAAAATACATCAAAGGGAACATGATAAATCATAAGTCGAAAAAAGATCGACATCAAAATAGAAAAAAAAGGAAAACACAAACAACTGTCCACATAACACTTAATAGAAAACTAAAGCCGGAGCAACACGAGACACCAGCGGAGTAGATCACAGGTGCTCTGGAAAGGTACACAGACCGTGCTCTACATGACTTTTGTGTGTCAACGGTCGTGTTGCTCATGGCATATACAACTTTGGTGAGAAATACTTCTGTTATAGCTTAGTGGCTTAGTGGCTTAGAGTGGCCATTTTAAACACAAAGATTACAGGTTTAAAAGATGTGATGTTCTAATTTTCTATTGAGAATCAAGCTCTCCTGTTTGATATAGCCTAATTAGGTCGAGTGGTCTAGGGTGCTGGACGCTGGACACTATGCAGGCGATCTTACCACGAATCAGGGTTTCGATTCCGCTGAGGGAAGAACAAACATTTGCGTTAGTCTAACATTGTTGGGCTAAATTTCAGACGAATGAATATTTAATGAAATCAGAATTAAATATACATTTATATTCCAATATCAGTGTTTAACACTATGGTTGCCAAATTTGGAACAAGGTACTCAGTACGTCATCATAGAAAGCGATAAAATGCGTCATTGACAAAAACCAAGTGTCAATTGACGTGAAGTTTTAATTATTTTGTTATGATGATTTCGATTTATAACATATACAATAATTATTAAAAAGTATTGTCACATTTTGAAAATAGTAATCTGATTAACCAAACAGAGATCCATGCTGATCCATGTATTACGAACATTTACATTTTTATTCTCTCAATTAAGTGAGGTTAAAATTTTAACTCCAAGAGAACTGCACGAGTATGTGAGAATGACTGTCCCTCAAACCAACATTTGGAACATTCTGGGGTATGTCATCATAGAAAGTTGTACTTGTGTCATTGACATAAACCAAGTGTCAATTGACATAAACTATAGGCTTTAATCAAAATAATTCTTTAATGATAATTTCGTTCTATAATGTACAAATGTTTTTTTTTCCTTCAAAATAATCACATCTAAAACAACAGATATATGATAACATGAAGGAGTAAGTGATATATCTTATCAGTTTACATTTTAAGCTCTTTCCACTATTAGTATTATTTTTACATTCGAACGAAATATAGTAAAGGGGAGGGGCGAAGGAAAAGTTCTCGAAAGTTTTATTTAACTATTTAACAGTCGTGAATATGCTATTAATTAAATTATGAGCTAATTTAAACGATTCGGTATATTATGATGGCTGAAATCAAATCTTTGATTCTAATACCGAAGTATTGTAGTTTTTGTGCTTGCAAAATCAACATTTTTAAAAATTTTGTTCAATAAAATAAAGTTTATATACGCCTGCAAAGTACTGCACGAATGACTTACTGGGGGAACAAATATTCGCCCATGGTTGTTATTAAACAAAACCTAAAGCCAATACAAATACGCGATTTTTTTTTTTTGCAATTTTTGTTATTTCAAAAATCGTATTTTCACCCAAAAATTCAAAAATCGATATTAGAACTTAAAACTTTAAACTTAAACATGATCTGCTTAAAATTTTGAATGCCTTTGCAGATATTTGAATACTTAATTCTTATCTTCGAAATTAAGTGCCGACTTTTGTCATCATTTTCCGCAAAATAAATTTGACCCCTGTGTTCAATAACACGGTATTTTCTGACTTTCCAATTTGGTCAGATTCTTTAAATCATATGCATTTGCTTTGTACATGAATGTTTTTCATTGGATAATTTACCAGTTTTTCCTATTTATTATATTTTATGATAAATTGGAGTTCAAACTTGTGTATCGTTACTTTTGTTGACTAGTATATTTGAAACAAAGAAAAACTGCTGTGGAGTCTTGTCATGCTTTTGGTATAGATTACAAATGATTCCGAAATTTTCGAATTTATTTTACTGAAGAATTCGAAGAAGTCCAGCGATATATAAAAAATGGCATCAAGTCTTAATATTGTTCATGATTAAAAACAGTCTTATAAATGTTTCACCACTAACTGAAACGTATTTAGTTTGCATATATCATACACGTATACTTGTGATGATGATGTAGATATAAGAAACAAAAACAAATCTTCTTTTAATCTTTGCTATTATTGTCCTATTGGTACTCCTCTTAACGTCCAATATGTAGGTGTATGCATGATCACAACGTCCATGTCAATTGAAAATATAGAAAGTATTATTGAGAAGAACTTACATTTTGAAGAATTTGTCCCTTCATGTTGCTTGTCCTTTTTCTGATCTCTAAAGTGGCAGAGATATCGTTGAGAATTCTTTTTATTAAGGTTTAAATACCAATCTCATTTTATGCAAAATATTTTTCTTTTATAAATTGATATTCATTGTTAATAAATGTCTCCGATTCATTTATTAATAATACATCTGACTTAAAACAATATTTTAACAAATTCATAGGAAATGGATTCATTGTCTTTTGCAATTGTGCAAACATCGGAAGAACATTTTATAAAATACAATTTTCACAGCAACGTCATTTTGTCGTGATTGCATTTATATTCCTTTCAAACAATGATCTCTCTTGTGTAAATATTAATATAATGTCGAAAGGAATCGGTGGTATGTCACAAACAATATCGGATAATGACTTTGCCACCCACCCAAAAATAAATAAAACTATCATAGTCAAAACAAAAACAAGGTTATTTTTGGTACCCGTTCAAATAATAATGAAATAAGAGTATATTTTTTAGCCGTGTAAAATTGTTCAAGATTTGCATTTATTGCCAATTAGATTATGAGAGAAGCTGTTATGAAATATCGAAAATGTGGCAGTTTACTTTCGGCATTAAAATCCTTTCGAGATGATATTTAAGTATTCTTACATGTATTTCTGTTTTAAACAAAATCAATCTAATTAAAATTAAATCTCCGCACTTGCTCCTCGTTGTTTATATGTCGCGCGCGACATATAAACAACGAGGAGCAAGTGCGGAGATTTAATTTTAATTAGATTGAAACAAAATAAGATATGAATAATACTAAAAGATACCTTTTTAACTTATGTTTGAGATATGATTTTCGTTTTTGTTTGACTAGCTAGTTTTGCGGATTTTTTGTTCTGTTTCTGTCTTATGTTGGGAATTTTTTTTTGGGGGGGGGGGGAGGGACGCGTTTTTTTTTTTTTAAATTGAACTGTTGTTTGCTAGGGCAGATATTTTTCCCTTTGTAACGTTTCTATTTAAACTGATACCTTTCATTCTCTCCAGGATAGATTGTTTTGAAAATTATGTCCCACGGTTATGGAATTGCGGTAAAATAAATCAAATACAACTTATTCTGCGTTTGAATATTAAGTAAACAATAATGAAGGCGACTTAATGATATCAATTGTTTAACTTTATAATAAAACTCGAAACAATAACAACTATCAGAATTTTTGTTTACATAAGAGGGTCTTGATGGGAGGGGGCCGGTGGTGGTGGTGGGGGTGGTGGGTGGGGTGGGGGCTTTAATTATGTATTCTTTGATTTTTCAAGTCATTTTTCTCTATTCTTTATTCTTTATAAGTTTTGTCCATTATTTTCTATTCCTTATATTTTAGCACCCCATTTTTCTCTATTCTTTATTTTTTTGGCCTATTTTTCTCTTTTCTTTATTTTTTGGCACGTTTTTCTGTAGTACTGGCCCATCATTCACTATCCCGTAAACCCCATCCAGACCCTCATATAAGATAGGAATTTTAAAAGTTTGTTAATGTTTCACTCAAAAGAAAATTCAAAAGTATTAAGTAGATAATATCAGTAAGTTTTTTTGAAAGGTTTTGATTTTTTTACATTTAAGTTTTTATATACCTCCGAGTATGTCGTTAATACGGCCCATCTAAATTTGTAAACGAATTCTTTGTCTTTTTTCAAACAGTACAGACATTTTAGTTTTTGTATTCATAGGAAGAAATATTTACCATATTGTTGTAGCTATAGTCTTGCGTCATATTTGAATTCATTTATTTAGTGCAGTAACACGGCCTAAACTAAATCGTGTATACGTTACTACGTTACTACGATACTACAATAGCTGCATACCTCGATACCGGAAAGAAAGAGACAATTAACAAATGAACTAACATTTTTTGTTAAAGCAGAAATCGGAAAACTTAATTTACTATATAACAACCGTACAGAAAGCTATTTCCGTCAGACAGGAAACTCATTGGGCAAGAAAGAGTTAACAGTCCGTAAGACAAATATCATTATTAGAGCGTTTTAAAACATACATTGGTATAATTTTTGTTAGAATCACATTTTATTAATGCCAACGAACAAAAATTATAGTATTACTCTAGAACGACACGTTCTTGAAATTTAAGACGAAGGTAAATACACGAGGGACGGCTCTGAATGATGCCGGTCACGTCACTTACCTAACGACGTCAGATAATTACTAAATTTCATATTGCGACGAAATGTTTGTTCCTTTCTTGTATTATGTTGCTTCTTACGAAAAAAAGGGACGAGATGAGACACCAATGTGACTGGCTTCAATTTTAAAACTTGTCAACGGGACTTCACTATACATTTTTTAAGTATTTAAAGTGCATTGATGCAAACGATTTTCACTTGATAAGGACGTTAACGTTATGTTGTATAAAATTCTTCACAAAATGTATCAGCATCTATATCTATTTCTAATTTTGTTTTCATTTTCACCACTGCATATTTTTCCAAAAGCAGACTTTTTGTTGTTTTATTGAATACAAGTTCAACATTTACATTTCCGGTGAAATGTTAGCGAAGAGGATAAATTTCTTGTCAGTTTATTATGGGCAAAGAATTAACTGCTGTAATGCAGTCTTTGGTTCAGATGTGTATGGCATATCATTACCGTGTTTATACTATAAATAGTTCAAAATGTACTTACACACCCTCATTGTGACTTTTAAATATCTTCTAACAAGCACAGGAGTGGTCAACGGGTTTAAAAAGGCATGTAGGTCATTAATTTGTCCTGTGACCGACGCGTTAACCCGATCGTTAACCCGAAAGTAATTGATTCAATCAAATATTATGCATTGATCTTTATGTTATTGAACATTGCTGTGTGAAATTATCATTGATGAAGAACAACAGATTTTTAATTATGAAAAGGTATGATTTCTTGTTATTGTTAGAAATCACTTTTCATTAGGGTCAGAAAGTTGAAAATTTATTTATATTTCATATCTAAGTATTTCTACAGTACATCGGCTGCGTTTGAAGTTCGATCGATTTTACGAAGCTATTTTTCACCTTTGAGTATCGCATGTTTCGTTTTTCAAATATTAGAGGGGCATGAGCTACGATTAAGACAGACATTTAAAATACAAATCTTTTTGTTTCAAGTATTAATAAAAGCGTAATTTTGAAATGATACTTCGTTAAAAGCAGTTAGTTTGGCCCAAATTTATCAAAATAAGCTCAAAACATCGTTGATGTATCATTGACTTGCAAGTGAATAATTCGACCTCATGTGAATCCGTATTCATGTGAACTTTAATTTAATCCCTTAGCTGGAGATGGGTTACGCATGTACTAGGCGTGTTCAGCTATTAAAAGGAAAATAATGTCAACATTGAAAGTGACACAAGGGTGATCCATTTCGTTGACTGATTCGATCCACAAAAATCATTCTTATCCAGGTAAAAACGATGATTAACTTTTTTTTTAAAGTTTAAACCTTTAACATGAAATCAAACAAACCTAGAAAAATCTTATTGCACGTGGTCGCTATCTATTTATATTTAAAATTATGTTTCTATAGGGTTATATGACCGTCGGTAGTCTTCAGATGTCATCTCGATGGTTAATTAGATGACATCCAAAAAAACACGAAATACTGATATTATATATTATCGAGTCCATGCATTGTTAATTGTTTATTTTAGACTTATTATAATTTGGATATACGTTTTTAGTATGTTATAAATCAAATATGAGAATTTGACAGCGAATGCCCCTTTAAACTATCTATCTCAGGTGGTATACTCTTAAACAAGCGCCCCAAAAGTGAGTTAAAGGAGATTGATTGTAATTAAATTTACTCATCTTATTTGGAAATAAAATCCATTTTGAATAAAAATATACCGCCACGGTATATAACCATAAATATAATCATTTTATTTGCTAAGCTTAAAAGGATTTTTTAAAAGTAAATGTAAATTAGAAAAACAGAAATATGGTTCATTATCCAACATTTCAGACATCTTGACGGATTATTACCAAACTCATGTTGTATTATTTCAACAATTATACTAAAAAAACACAAGAACTTGGTTTAATTATTATCAAAAGAAAATTATTCCACAGAGCAACCTTCCATTAACAATGCAGAAATTAACATTTTTCATTAAGCAGAAATAAGAAACATGTGTTTCCCGCAAATTAAAGGAGAGTATTTACTTCTTGTTTGAATAAAAATAGTCCCTACTATCACATTCATTCTTTATAATTATACATGATTTTATCATTTAATCAAACGATTATTGTGGGAGAAAAGTTAACTTAATTTTCTCTATTTTCCTCCATTGAAATGCAGTTTTTAATAGTCATATAGCATGGTTAACTTTTATTGTTCATTCTTTGTACAAGGTTAAAAAAAATTGGAAATGAAAGAATATAATTATGATTTTCATAAAATACAATGAAATTGCGGTATCCTTTGATGCAATACAAAATCGATGTTTAACCGGACAATTAGACGGACTATTATTATTATCACATCTGAAATACTCATATTATAAATAAGTAAGAAGATTTGTTTTTCAATACACATTTTATTTGTAGTTATTTCAATGTTCAAAATTAAACGAGGAGAGATAAAAGCTGACAGTTAACCACTGCCACATTTTGATGTGCCTGTACCACGTGCACGTTTAGAACCTTTGGTCTGAGTTATTCACCACACATGCTCTCTGGTCACTCTCTAGTTAATCTTTATTCTCACAAACCATAAGTTTAATGCTTGAGATACATGTAAATTGATTGAGACCGTAACTTCTTAGTGTCTTTTGTTTGTTTTGTTTATATTTCTGTATCTTGTTTACATATACAACTACAACTTCAACTCCTTATATTTTTATGAAAGTATTATGCGCTTTTAGTATGCTTTGTGCTATATTCAGTTTGCTTCAATTAACTTGTTAATAACAGATGATATATGCACAGTTAAAGAAGTTTACACATGTTTTTTTGTGGTTCTTCTAATTGTTAGGTTGCTGTGTGGTATTGATTATTTTTGTCTGTCAAATTTATATATTTTAACACATTGTATCTTCAACTTTCTACTATAAACCTGTGTTTACAAAATTG